GTGTGTGTGTGTGTGTGTGTGTGTGTGTGAGCATGTGGTTTTGTTCAGGTGTGTGAGCCTGTGTATGCTTGTTCAGATGTGTGCAATCCTGTGTACATGTGCTTGTTCAGGTGTATGTGTACGCGCACCTGTGCTTGTTCAGGTGTGTGTGTGTGTGAGCATGTGGTGTGCATGTGCTCAGGTGTGTGCATGTTCTGTCTGCTTTGAACTCCGTTGCCTCCGTTTACGTTCTGTCTGCTGGGGGTGGGTTGGTGAGTAGCTTTGAACTGGGGGAGAAGAGGGTGGGGCTGGGGGCACCGGCGCCCCCATAATGCAGGAGCAGACCGAGTGACCTGGGCAGGACACGGGGCACAGAGCACCAGTCCTCTCAGCCTCAAAGGGCAACAACAGCAGCGGGGTGTGGACAGGCGGGCCCTCGGGAGACACGCACAGGGGCCCCAGGGGCAGCGGCAAGCGGACAGGCTCACTGGTCTCTGTAACCAAACCCAGCACACTGCCATGGCGCCAACTCCCACTCAGCAACACCCCACACAGCGTCCCCCAGTCTGTCAGTCCTTCCTAGAGCACCTAGCCTCATCTCTCCCCTGAGGAGCCTCAGGGGGTCCGAACCACTGACCTTGCGGTTACAGCCTGGCGCTTAACCCACAGTGCCACCAGGCTCCCTCATGAGCCTGAGGGATACTCAGGTCAAAACTATAATAAGACACCGTCTCACACCCGCCCCAAACACCCAACTCACTGCCACTGAGCCAGTTCTGACCCACAGCGACCCCACAGGTCAGGGCAGAATGCCCCACAGCGACCCCACAGGTCAGGGCACAATGCCCCTGTTCCAGTGGCAGTTACATCATCTACTGCCAACTTGAGCAAAGGGTGGAGTCTGGCTCTCCATCAGGTCACAGCCAAGGAGGCCTCGGTGTGGGCCTGGCCTTCTCCTGAGGACCTGGGAACTCCTGTCTTCCTCCCTGGAGGAGGGATGGACACACTCTCCCTGGGAGACATTCCTGTTGACAAGCACATGGAGCTACTCTGACGGAGCCAGAGCCCTGGAGATAGAGAAGCCACATGGAGACCCACGCCAGTGCTGAGATGCTTCCACCACCACTGGACCCACAAGACTTCCCACCCACTGGCCTGTGATCTTCCTGCATTCTGCATCATTGCATGTTGTGTGAGTCTGAAGAGGAATTTATCGACAGGTATTGGACATAAGGGCTAATATGGACTTGATCTGGACTGGGCTGGGATGTTTTCTCAATATGTAATTGCTCTTTTATAGAAAGCTCTTTCTTATACACATACGAGTGGCTATGAATTTGTTTCTCTAGTCCACCCAGACGAACACAATCTCCCACCTTGGCAATCTTCACAGGAGCAGGCAGCCTGTCTTTCTCCCCTGGAGCAGCTGGTGGGTTTGAACCACTGATCTTGGGGTTAGCAGCCTGGCACTTAACCCACAGCACCACCAGAGCTCCTGATTTTTGGGTGGGGTGGAGAAAGAGGTGATGTCTATGCAATATGGTGCCTACCATGGGTGCCACTTAGAAATGATTTCAATGGCAATAATTCTTGTTACACATATTTAGATATATATATATTTTTAAATAATTAAGAGCTGCTTCTCTGACAAGGGTCATAACCGGGCTGGGACAAACCCCAGTGGGCTTTCAGGAGGCAGCGTCCTGTCCCCATTGGCTTTGTTCCTGCTCCAGGGCCTCTGTACAGCCTGCAGTTCCCTGAAGACTCTCTTCCCACCATTTGCGCGGCCCATCCCCCTCCCTCTGCCCTCACCTTGTGGCTCCCCCAAATCCCCAGCCCCAACACAGCCGCTGCCCCCTCCAGTTCCCCTGCACCGCTGTCCCATTCAGCACCGTCTTCGTCTGAAGAGCAGGGCTGTCACCATGACGACGGAGGTGCTCCTGACCCAAGCCATGGTCTTTACAGCCACCTCCTGGGCACGTGGAAGGTGGACGTTGAATGAGGAAGACGGAAGAAGTGATGCACTTGAATGATGGTGCCGGTGCCGCGGAAGAATGCTCAACATACCATGCCTGCCCAAGGAACCCACACGTCGCCTTCCTGGGAAGGGGTACCACCAGAGTGCTCCTCACAAGTCCACCCACAGGGAGTCGCCAGCAGTTCAGGCCGATTCAGAAAGGATGTGGGCCCAGGGACACCATGGCTGAGGTCAGACGGATCTCGGCTTAACGCAGAGAAGACCAGGACGATGCTGGCTCGCGTTTCACTGACTGTGCACAGGCACTCGGCTGTGAGGACCATAAGGAGCGGTGGACCCCTGAGGAGAACGGGGATTCCGGAACACTCCACTGTGCTCACGCGGAACTTGCACGTGGATCAAGAGGCAGTTGTGTGAACAGAGCAGGGGGATGCCGCATGGCTTGAAATCAGGAAAGGTGGGTGTCAGGCTGGTATCCTCTCACCGTACTAGTTCAGTCTGTAGCAAATCCTCAGAGAAGCTGCCTTGTGTGAAGAAGAGGGTGGCATTAGGCGGGGAGAAGGCTTCTGACAGCCTCATCTGGCTCCTTCAGGGCAGCAGGTGGGTTTGAACCGCAGACCTGCATTGAGCAGCCCCACATTAGCTCACTCACCATACCACTAGCCCGTGTGGCGCTCAGTGAACCAAGAGCCAAATGCCCCGCTTGTCAGAGAGAAGGCGGGAGGCCGAGGGTGCTTCTTGTGCCCCCGAGGAGAGGACTTGTTGTGTGACCCTGGGCTGTGCCTCAGCTTACCTGCAGCAGGAATGGGGCCAGGCTTCTGAACCTCAGCACGCCCCACTGGCCCGTGGCCCTGACGTCCTGTTCCCTGGGGCCGGCTTTGCCGACACCAGATTCTCACTTGGACGGTCCAGCCGGCGGCGACACATGATCCCAGCCCCACTTCCAGGCCAGCGTCCGGCGGCCAGGGCCCCAAGATTCCGTGCAGGGGGACAAGAGCCCGTCTGTGCAGCCTCAGGAGGTGTGGTGAGGCCGAAGATGTGCCAGGGCTGGGGATAGTGCCTGCTGGGCAGAGCCACCACCACGGAGGAGCAGCATTAGCCCTGTCCTGTGCTCCTGGCTGCCCGTCATGGGCACCCTCAGCTGCGACCCTGCCCCGAGGCCCACCCCTCCAGCCCCGGGCCGGCGGGGCACCGACTACCAGATCCCTGAGACAGGGCTTCGCAAGTCCTGTGCGGCGGCCGCCATGGAGACTGGTACAGAGATGTGAGGGGTGGGGAAGGGGGGTGGCAGGGTGGGCGCCTGGACTGGGGGGCTTCCTTCCAGAGAGACCCTGCCCTGCTCCCCTGGTCCTGGAATGTTATGAGCTCTGCTCCACCAAGCCTCAGTTTCCCCAGCCCAGAAGATGGGCTGGCCTGGTGCAGGGTGGTCCTGCGTGTTGGGTGTGTAGAGGGGGAGGCACCAGACAGACAGAACCTCTGGGCTGGATTGTTGTGGGAGTGGACAGTGACAGACACATGGTGGTGGTGGGGTGTCTCTGCCAGGACACTGCCACAGTCTCCCCCTCTGTGACAACCTCAGCCTGTGCCCCCGCCGGCTTGGTCCCCCTTTGACAGGGTGGTACTGTCCCCTGTGATTCATGTGACTCACAATGTGGGTGTCGCTCTGTCCCCTGGGGGCACTGCCTCCCTCAATCTAGCTGGCCGGTGGGGGCGGGGGCAGTGGGGGGAGGGCATGGAGCTGGACTCCAGCTGTCCCCCCGCCTCTTGCAGGTGTTGGACCCAGCCTGTACGTCCTGCCATCCACCGTGGGCTTTGTCCAGCATGACTGTACCAAAGTGGCCAGTCCTGCCTACTCCCTGGTCCGGAGGCCCAGCGAGGGTGAGCCTGGCTGCCGGTGGGCTGGGGCTAGGGCTCAGGGGTGAGGGTCTGCGTGGGGGGTGCAGGCTGGAAGGCCAACCTAGGAGCTGGGAGGGCTCAGGGGTGAGGGGCTGGACAGGTGCAGGCCAGGAAGGGTGCCGAGTGTGGGGCCCACTGCTTAGTCAGGGTGCAGAGGCCAGGGCTGGGCAGGAGGAGGGACTGGGGGGCAGTGTGTGTGTGTGAGTCTATCTTAACAGCCCCATCCTTGCTGGCTGACCTCCCAGCTTCAGTTTCCCCTGCTGGATACTGTGGGTGCTGGGTCAATCTACCTGAGGGTGCATGGGGGGGCGGGACTCCAGGAGTGGACCAATCTGCTTGTGGTTGTTCATGGGGGGCCGGGTGCAGTGCTCTGAGTCTGGGAGGACATGAAGGGCTGGGGTGCAGTGCTGTGTGCCTGGGGGTGCATGGGGAGATGGTGCAGTGACTGTGTGCTGCCCCATGTCCTGGGAAGACTTCATGTTTGTGACAACGCCTGGGGTCACCTGCCTTCCTCCCTCGAAGCCCATGCTTGTGCTGCAGGCTCTACCCGGAGTGCCCTTTTTCCCCGTGGGCTCCCCGAACTCTTATTCATCCCACAAAACCCAGACTCGGGTCTCCCTCGCCAGGAAGTCCTCCCTGCCCCTGTGAAAGTGACTGCCCACCCCCACCCCCAGCTCCCTAGCTTGCCTCGCTTGGTTCCCCTGTCCCCGGGCCAGGTGTGTCCACTGCAGGCCAGGGTATTTGCACCAGACTCACTTCCATCCACTCTGCCCCGACTTAGGAGCCCCAAAGACAGGGCCGAACCACTCCTGCGGGTTTATGAACCTTAAATCTTCTCGGGAGCAGACAGCTTCGTCTTTCTTTTGCAGTGGTGGTAGGTTTGAACTGCTGATCCTGCCGTTTGCAGCCCAAGGAATGAGTAACCCATTAGACCACCAGGCACAGTTTGCTAATCAACGCATTCTCCACACACCCCTTACACACAGCTTGGCCATGTCCCCTCCCGCCCTCCAGACACACCCGGCCCTGCGCCCTCGTCACCATCGCTCCTGTGCCCGCGCCCACGGTTGCAGCCACTGTGTCTGTCCCGTCCTCTCTGTCCCTGTCCCTGCCCCTTGATGGACCGGTTTCCCCGGACAATGCGTGAGGCAAAGTCTCGCCATCCTTGCCTCTAAGGCGCACCCACCCTCCACCTCCGAGAGATTTGCTGATACTCCGACAGTCTTCTCCAGCACCCAGCACTGCCATTCAGATCGGCTCCAGGTTTCCCCACTCAGTGTCCAACTCTCACCGGCATAGCAGGCGGTCAGGAAAGGCCACGACTTGGGCCAGGCTCACCTTAGTCCTCAGAGTAACCTCTCTGCTGTCCAACCCTCTGAAAGGGTCTCTGCAGCAGCCGGACCCAAGACCCTGCATCGTTTGATCCCTTGGCTGCTGCGTCCAGGGCTATTGACGGAGGATCCACACGCTGCTCGTGTGCACCCATCAGAACAACGAAGGCCGTCGGAGGGCCAGGTCCCACTTGGTCGGGCGCCGAGTGCAATGACCGCCTGGTCCTCTCCTCCCTGTGTCGTCCTCTCGCCCTGAGACTGGACGCAGGACAGAGGCTTTGCAGACAGGCTTGCCTGGCAGAGTTGGAAAACAGCCTCCTCTCTCTCTTTCCCCCCTCAGATTATGTATTCATTTCTTTTTCTTTATTTAATCATGTTATTAGGGGCTCATACAACTCTTATCACAATCCATGCATACATCAATTGTGTAA